AATGCGGCCCCTGAAGACTCCTCGGAAGAGGAAGAAGACGATGAAGATGAGGAGGAAGCGCGCAAAGTAGGTGATGACCATTCAAATTACATTGACGACTGACTAACTATTTCTCCCACTCAGATTCGCGAGGGATTCATTGTCGACGAAGATGAGGAAGAGGAAGAAGGCGAGGACGAAGATGCTCACGAGCGAAAGCGAAAGCGAGAGCATCGCGACAGAGAAGAAGAAGAGCGGCTGGACGAGGATGACTTGGAACTTATCGGGGAGCAAATTGAGCGCAGAGCACCAACACAGGTACGATGCCCCATGGACTATCGTTACCGGCTGTACTAACGTATCTGTAGCCTAAATTCAAACGTCTCAAACGAGGACATCGGGACGAGGATGAACGTGGCCCCGAGCGACGTGGCTTAGAGGACATGTTCTCCGATGACGACGAGGAAGTCAACGACCAAAAACCCTACGGCCGATCGAACTACCGCCCCCAGGCCGACGAGTTCGAAGACTTCATCGAGGAAGATTACCCGGAGGATGAGGACGAACGAGCGCGTCAGCAGGAAGATGCCGAAGTCGCCCGGCCCCGCGACAGAGGAGTTGGAGGTGTCGTCGACACTTCCGGCCTCGACAAAGACGCCCTGGAGGACATGGAGGCAATCTTCGGTAATGGCGAGGATTACGACTGGGCCCTCCAAATGGAAGAAGAGCAAGAAGACCGCGAACGCGAAGAGCAGGTTATTGAGCTCAAGGACGTGTTTGAGCCTTCACAGTTGAAGGAGAAGCTCTTGACCGACGAGGACAACCAGATCCGATTCACGGATGAGCCTGAAAGATTCCAGCTGGACCGAAAGCCCTTCAAGCACTTGCAAATTAGCGCTGAGCAGTTCAAGGAAGAGGCCCGGTGGATTGCGGGTTTGATGTGGCCCAAAAAACTGCTCCAATCTGAACTACACGGACCCTTCACCAAGGCGATCGGCAAGGTCCTCGAGTTCTTTGTCGTTGACGACGTTGAGGTTCCCTACGTCTTTCAGCATCGCAAGGATTACTTGATCCATGCCAAGAAGACCAAAAATCCCGACCATCGCGACGACCCAGACGCCCCCGAATGGATTGTCAGCGCAGACAAGCTTCTTACTCAGGACGACTTGTGGCGGATTTTGGAGCTTGATATCAAGTTCCGTTCACTGATCGAAAAGCGGAACGCTCTGGAAAAGACGCTCGAGAATCTCAAATCTGCTGCTAGCATCAAGGACGATGTACTCGAGGATATGATTCCCCAAGCTGCGACCATGGAAGAATTGCAAGATTTGCAGGACTACCTCCACTTCCAGTACACGAACGAGCTCAAGGACCTGTCTTTCATGAACGGCAATAGCAATCAGATGAAGCGCCCAGGCTCCAAATCAAATCTTGTCGACAGAGTCAGGAGGAGCAAGGCTATCGGTTTTGTCCGTGCCTACGGCATCACTCCGGATCGGTTCGCTCAAAACACTCTTCGCGAGGGCAACAAGGTTTGGGCCGACGACGACAGTCAGCTTCCCGACGACCTCGCCGACTCCCTTACGGATGAAGAATTCCAAACTGGTGATACTGTGATGTACGCTGCTCGCCAGATGTACGCAGAGGAGCTGTTTGTCAACCCTCGTATGCGGAAGCACTTCAGAGTCAACTTCTACCAGATGGGCGAAATCAGCTGTCGCCGGACAGAGAAGGGCTTGAAGAAGATTGACGAGTCACATCCATTCTACGAGGTCAAGTATCTCATCAACCAGACAATCGCCGACGTTGCTCGCCAGCCAGATCTCTACCTCAAGATGATGAAGGCAGAGGAAGAAGGTCTCATCGAGGTTAAGCTGACGTTGGAGAACGACGAGGGCTTCAAGCGCTCATTGCGTCAAGAGTTCATTTCAGACAACTACAGTGAACTCGCGGATCGATGGAACGATGAACGTCAGAAGGTACTTGATCTCATTGTTCCCCGACTTTCCAAGATCATTGCCAAGGGCGTCAAGGAGTCTCTCCGGACTGCATGCCAAGAAGAAGTTCTCAAAGCCTGCCGCGAAGAATACTCAAAGAGGCTCGATCAAGCACCATATAAGCCCAAGGGTATGATTCTTGGCACACTGCCCCGAATCATCACTCTGTCCAACGGAATGGCCGATCCAGCTCGCGACCCTACACTTTGGGCGTCCGTTGAGGAAGATGGCCGGGTCATTGAGCAGGGAAAACTGGGCAATTTAGCTCGTGACGAGCGAGCTCGCGAAGAATTCGTCGAGATCGTCAACAGGCGTCGCCCGGATGCCATCGGTATTAGCGGATGGTCTGCAGATACTCAGAAGCTAGTGAGAGACTTGGAAAGTCTAATCAGCGAGAAGGGCTTGATGGGGCCTGAGTTTGATGACCCTGAGCTTGGGGAGTACCGCACTGAGCCTCTCGAAGTCATCGTGGTCAATGACGAGGTGGCTCGTCTCTACAAGGACAGCCCCCGAGCAGTCGCTGAGCACCCTACTCTCAGTTCCCTTACAAGGTATTGCATCGCTTTGGCGCACTACATGCAAAACCCTCTCAAGGAGTATGCGGCTCTTGGCAAAGACATTGCATCGTTAGCTTTCCATCCTTGTCAAAACCTGCTACCCCAAGAGAAGCTACTCAAACACCTTGAGTCAGCGATGGTTGACATGGTTAACCTGTGCGGTGTCAACATCAACGAGGCTGTGGGCGATTCTTACACAGCGAACCTCCTACCCTATGTGGCCGGTCTTGGCCCCCGAAAGGCTACAAGCGTCATCAAAGCCATCAACGCGAACGGAGGAGCTGTCGGCAGCAGAGATGAGCTGGTTGGTGACCCCGACAGTGGCAAGCTGCCAGTCGTGGGCCCAAGAGTCTGGAACAATTGTGCCAGTTTCCTCTTCATCGACTACGATGCGACCAACCCCGCCTCAGACCCCCTTGACAACACCCGCGTTCACCCGGAAGACTACGAGCTGGGTCGCAAGATGGCAGCCGACGCCCTTGAACTTGATGAAGAGGACGTCAAAGCGGAGACGGATCACAATGGACCTGGTGCTATTGTTCGAAAACTCTTCAAGGAAGACGAACAAGAGAAGGTTAATGAGCTTATCCTCGAGGAGTATGCAGAACAACTTGAGCGCAATTACAGCCAGCGGAAGCGCGCTACGCTCGAGACAATTCGGGCTGAGCTTCAAGCCCCCTACGAAGAGTTGCGCAGAAACTTCTCAAGCCTTGGTCCGAACGAGATTTTCACAATGTTCACCGGCGAGACCAAGGACACACTCGCCCAGGGCATGATCATCCCCGTCAACATCCGGGTGGTGAAAGATGACTTCGCCATAGTGAAGCTTGACTGCGGCATAGAGGGCCGTATCGAGTCGCACGATGGCCCCGACGGTGTCCGTGTCAGAGGTCTTCTCACAACCGGACAGACGGTGCAAGCCAAGGTTCTTGAGGTAAACTACAAGGACTTCTTGGCCAAGCTCTCTGCAAGAGAAGCCGAAGTCAAGCGCCCGTACAAGCGCCAATTGTACCACGGCCATGGACAGTGGGACGAGAGACTGGAGGCAGCCGATAAGGAAGAACTCCGCGAAAAGGACAAGACCACCGGACGCACTCAAAGAGTCATCAAACACCCGCTTTTCAAGCCGTTCAATGGATTGGAAGCTGAGCAATGGCTTGGTACCCAAGCCGCCGGAGAGGTCATCATTCGACCTTCCTCAAAAGGTAACGACCATCTGGCTATCACCTGGAAGGTCGCCGATGGTGTTTTCCAACATGTCGACGTGCTTGAGCTCCAAAAAGAGACGGAGTTTTCCGTCGGCAAGCTTCTCAAGGTTGGTGGCAAGTTCACCTACAAGGATCTGGATGAGTTGATCCATGAACATATCGAGGCTATGTCTCGCAAGGTGGACGAGATGATGCAGCATGAGAAGTTTGAGAAGCGGTCCAAGACGGATCTCGGTATGTGCCTCCGTAATTTACTCCCAAGATGAGCAACAACTGACCATGCAATATAGAGAAATGGCTCACCACATACATCGATGCCAATCCCAACCGGTCCGCTTATGCGTTCTGTATCGATCCCAAGCATCCCGGCTACTTCTGGCTTTGCTTCAAGGCGAGTCGTGGATCTCGTGTCAACTCGTGGCCTGTTCGTGTTATTCCGGGCGGCTTCGAGCTACTTAAGCAGAGCTACCCTGACATGAGAGCGCTGTGCAACGGCTTCAAGATCCGTTACCAGACCGAAATCACCAAGATGCAGAAGGGCGGTGGTAGATAGGGTCCAGCTGCTCGTAGCACAAGGCCTTCCGCCCCTGTGACTACTAGAGACTACATCACAGCTAGCTCGTCGCTTGGAGGCTGCTATTGAGAGCGGGATGACAAGAATGGACGACACTTGATAATGACGAAGAAGAAAAAGACTACTTCAAACGTGTGGGCGGTTGGACAGAGGCCGGATCCCAGTGAAGTAGTGCGTGGAATTTTCTTATTTGGGAACTCCTCGGTTCCCTAGAATCGGCTTTTGGGGGGTTTCACGGAAGCGAACGGGGGTAACACGCATCATCGTCATTCATGTAGATTAGTAAAAAGGCCCTTGAAGGTCAAAAAGCCAGTAGACAAAAATTGGAATTTCCCAACGACAACAGTCATCACTCAGCTCAATCATGGGACTCTCTCACATGCTTAACATAGGGTACCTACGTCAAGTTCTTCAGAGACCACTCATGGGTGAGATCTCGGTGCACGTCACGAAGCTCGATGCCTTTGAATGGAGAGTTACAAAGCAGCCGGGCAGCTAACTAGGTTTTATACGTCTCTAAGTCTAAGTTGATGTGCCGATCATGTACAAGTATTAACAAAAGGAAGGAGAATGACTGTGATCGATCTCTTTGTACCAAATTACACGTATCTCAACATACATTAAACATTGTTCTAACATCTACACCCATCAACATCGTCAAAAGGAACTAAAGCTTTGTAGTCATTTACAGAGCCAAGGCGGCGACGGCACCGATGGCCATTAGCAGAAAGCTGGCACCCGCTTGGACGGCCGCGTTGACGACGACGGCCGGTTTGGTCGGGTAGCTGGCGCTAGAGTAGCTAGTTGTTGATGCACCGGGGGCCGTTCCCACGGGCTTGGAGGCAGTGAGGGTGGTTGGCTTGGTCACCGGGACGGTGGCGTTGAAGCCAGGAGGAGGCTTGGGGATAGTGCCGTTGCCGTTGCCGGAGCCGGAGCCGTAGTTGTTTCCACCGGGGGCGCTGGGCTTGGGAGGGGTACCAGACGTGGAGACCGAGGAGAGGGTCTTGGTCAGGCCGGGGGCGGAGTTAGGGCCCGATGGGGCCGTGGGGACGACCTTTGTCACGATGGGTACCGAGGTGCCGGCGGAGGGCACCGACGTCGTGACGATCTTGGTGGTGACGCTTCCCACGGGGCAGTTTGTAACGGAGGGCGGGCACTTGGTGATAGTGTAGACGGTAGTGAAGGTGGTGGTTGAGACGCCAGGGGCAGGACCAGGGCCAGGGTTGGGCTTGTCGTTGCCCTTGACTGGCTCGGTGGGCTTGGGAGCAGGGACAGACGAGACGGGGCAGACGGTGGTGTACAGAGCGATAGTCTGCGTCGTGACCTTGCCGAGGTGGGCTGGGCAGTCAGTGACGGTAGGTGGGCATGCGGTGATTGTAGACACCTTGGTGGTGTAAACTGTCGAGGTCGTGAGCTCGACGGGAGGAGTTGTTGTCGAAGCCGCCTGGGTCTGTTTGCTGGTGACGACAGTCTTGGTGCTGATGGCGTCGCTCTCGGTGCAGACATCCTCGTCAGTCATGCTGTTGGACTTGATGGAGATCGAACCGGACGCGCTGGCGGTGACTGGCTTGGTGCCGGTCGCACTTGTGGTAATTGGGCCAGTGGGAGTGATGGAGGCGGAGGCAGACTTGGAGCCGGAGCCAGAAGCAGATACTGAAGCCGAGACTGAGATAGAACCAGATGCAGAGGCTGATCCAGAAAGAGTTCCAGAGGCGGTCTTGGAGTCAGAGGCGGATGCAGTGCTAGAGGCAGACGCGGTTCCAGAAGCAGAGGTAGTGCCAGAGACAGAGGCAGTGCCAGAGACAGAGGTGCTGACAGACGTGTCCTTTGCCGTGACCGAGCCGCTAGCAGAAGCAGAGATGGAGGCGCTCGTCGAGGATGAGGCGGAAGCAGAGGCGGACGCCGAGGCAGATGCCGATGTGGAGATGGTAGTCGATGTGACCGCAGACGATGTCGAAGTGGAAGACGTCGAGGCGGATGATGTGGAGGCGGATGATGTCGAAGCAGACGACGTTGTGGCAGACGTCGAGGTCGAGGTTGAGACGGAAGTCGAGGTAGAGGTAGACGAAGAGGACGCGGAAGTCGTCACGGCCTTGCTGCCCTCCTTGAACACACGAATGTCCTTGATCTTGAAGTAGGTGTCCTTGTAGGCGCTGGGATTCGCCGCGACATACGACGAGCAGACAGCGTGGCCAGTGGACGCGGCGCACTGGTCCTTCCAGATGTACTCATTGCCGGCGAGAACGCCGCAGAAGTCAATGTTCAGAACAAGTCTCTGATCGGCAAAATGGCTGTTGATGTTGCACTTGTCATTGGCGATGAGCATGGAGGGAGTTCCCCAGGAGGAGGTATCGGGCGAGTCTGAGCCAATGTTCTTGGGAGCTGCGGAATGGGTCCAGGCTAGATGTCTTGTTAAAATTATCCGTTGTGTGTACATTCACATTGTAACCGAAGGCGTGGAAAGGTCCTTACCAAAGAACTTGATGTAGTCGTCTGTCCACTCAACGGCATCTATGTTCAGGAATTAGTTGAGGCCATCCTATGACTGATATGCTGGCTTCACTTACAGATACCACCATCGGAAGAGCCCCAAGGATCAGCAGAGGTGGCTGTAGTAGTACAGCCCTCGTTGGTGTATTGGCCAGGAGCCTGTTGATCACAGTTGGCTGTGTTGACCTTGGCCGTCTGCCCGGTCTCACTGATGATACACTGGCCCTGTTCGGATGTGAGGTAAGTGTGGGCAGCAGGCTTGTTGGCAGCCTATCGTAGTTGTTCAGCAAAGCAATTAGGATGCAAACATGCAGACGATAACCTTACCGCGTTGTTCCAGCCTTCGAAGAAGTCAAGCTCGCCCTTCTTAGGCCACGGAGAACCGTAGGACCAGCTTCGATGATGTTAGTATGGGAAGACCCGGGTATTCACTCTTGGACAGAGAACTTACAAAGCAGGCCAGGCACCGCAGACAGGCTTAGGAAGATGAGAAAAGCGGGCGACCATGAGAGACTTGTTGTAAATTGCCTTGCTCTCGAGTCTCACACTTGAACGACCAACACCGGGGAACTCGGTGATGTTGTGGGCATCAGGGCCCACGTAGACCTCGCCGTCGGCATTGTTGATGAGACCTAACTTCTGGGCGTCCACACGGGTGCGATAGTTGATGTAGCCCGAAGTGAGATCGACGTCATTATAGTCTCCCGTGCCATACTTGCTTTCGAAAAAGTCAAACTTGTCGAAGAAGTTCGTGGAGTCGTAGGTGTCATCGAGGACGAACTGCTTAGCGACAGCGTCACCAGCCAAGGCCAGGGCAGCCGTGCCTAGGGTAAAGAGTGAAGGTGCCATTATGGCTGTATTATAATTATCCAAAGAGAGACTTGATTAGGCTGTTTAGAGAGTAACGAATGACTTGACGTGAGATACGTCGTTGGACGAGCAAGAGTGCTCTAGGAGGTGCTGGACGACACGGCTGTTGGCGGATGTGGTGCGTTGAGGTGGACGGGACGAAGCCCATTCTAGGTGGACGAGGTGCCGCTTAAGATGTCCTGCCATCCCATTGAATGCTCGAGCATCTGTCCCGTGCCGCTGGTACGCGGGCCACTTACACGGCCAGAGGCACAGCGGCATCGCGGGCCAGACGTCCTTGAAGGGCTAAGCGAGGTTCTCGTCCTGGAAATATCCTCCTTTAGGGCCCGCTGAACAGAGTCTAAGGTGGCCTGTCTGGCCGTGTTGTACCATTCGCCATTGCAGTCTGTGTGTCTCGGAAGGGTAAGGAGGTTTGCAAAGGAAATCGTTTTCGTATGCACGACTCCCATGATGGCTACCGGAGCCAAGCATCGTGAGGTCCGGGCACCAGCCGGAGAGTCTACCTTGACTACGCCAAATCAGGTGCGGGAAAGGGGCACAGGAAATTACAGAAACGGCAAAGATTGACAGTGATTGGGGGGATCCCACGATGGGTGCCACGGGGGCGTCGAGCGATGCGGCTATGGTATTAGTCTCTTGACTTATGTCGGCCGATGGACTAACTCAAAGGGGATGTTGGTTGGCGACTATTGTTACTTCGAGGAGCGAGGTGCGGCTGGACTTGGTGGCTTTTGCGGCTAATTGGGCTATACGCCGCTCTTTCGGTTTGCACACTCTGTGGGTGGGAATAAGCTGCAGGTACGCACGCACACGATCCTGAGAGAAAACAAGGGTTCCTCCAATTCCCAAAGTACCGTGCATTTTGCTCATAAGAGTAGACTGCGGTGCCGTATGAATCCGCAGCTCCCTACCAGAGACCCTGAGTCGTTTTCTCAATCTTGCGCGGTTCCCGCATGTCATGAATCCTTTAGCTGGCAATCGCGGCCCATCGCGTCAAAGTCCGTGTGACGAGCGGCAGGATTTTGTTCCCCACGCTAGAGACTTCAGGCGAAGATGGAAATGCCATCCTCAACTACGATGCTATTCTCGGGTGTAGCTGAAGACGATAAGCATCGGTGCGTGAGTATGGCAATGCTTGGCAGGGTCTCAGCGCTCAGAAGTGGGTATGTGGGAGACATCACCACCATGGGAAAAGGGCTCAGAGTGACCCCATGATGGATTCGTGGGTGTTGTGGGGCTTCTCTTCCTACTTTGACCTATGCCGAATCGGATACAAACGCCGAGGCAGTAAGCATCATTTAAGCCCTTGTTGAGGTGAGTTCGGCGACGATAGCCGTAAACCCGCATCGTGCCAGGATCTTTTCATGAATTAGACGTCGATGTGCGGCACAGAGTAGGCAGATACGCATAAAATGGATCTTTTGTAAGTCGCCGGGGAGCGTTGTGAGAGAGCGGTGGATAATGTACATATTGGAACCGTGGAACTTTGGTGACCCCCCGTGCCCCCGAAGAAATAACTTTCCTTGTCTACTTCACCTATTCGTCACGATTCATGAGAACCAGCCATGTGGTAGCCCAACACTGGCGCGTCGAGTACTCTTTCACTAGAACTAGTTGAGTAGTATGATACCCCGGCTCTAGCGCTAAATTATCATGGCGGGACTGGAACCAAGACGAGGTGGGAAATAGTAGAGGGGCATAGGGGCAGCAGGTGAAATACAATCAACACCTGAATAGGAGTAGTGTCGAAGAGAACATTGACGCCACGCACTGCACAGAGGAGCGTTTGATTAAACAGTAGGCATCCACTGGTCCAGAACCTGAAAACACGGCGTTGCTCAATCCAGGATTGCGGGAATTGTGATGGGAGAGAAGGCCATGACTGGGAGACGTCGACTTGCCACTCACGTGGCTTTGTATTTGTTCTACCGAGAACGCTGAGCGGCGTGGCGGTCGCGAAAATCAGACCAGTCCGTGATTATCTGCGCCGCGGCGGTTCTATTTTGCGACTCGACTCGGCACAGGTTTCCTCATTCCACCCACTCAACCTCCGTCACTCCCGGGCAAAAGGGCGTGGAGGTGTACGGCAAGTCTCTTCGGCAAAAGACCTCCTATTCCCGCGAACGCGGTTCTATGACCCGCACAGCAGGTCTTTTGCTGCCATGAGAGCCTGTCTGCCTGCTCTCCAAATCTGGTGGTCTAGCGTTGCGTAAGTCTTTGTTTTTCCAAGAGTTATCGTTAATCGAAAAAGAAGACCGCCCCAATCGAAATGTCAGACAAAGTTGAGAAGATATATATAACGCGGTGTTTGTCGGCACTGCACCACTGACTCTGGGACAAGCCCTTCGCCTCCAGGTGCTTCGCTGGCCCCGCGTGCGTCATCATGTAAAGGGGAGTACACTGAGAAAGAGGAGAGACCACTTACACTGAATTTGATGTTGTTTAATGGGTATCTTGTTTGATGTGTTGGAAACTTCCTCTGTAAATTCATGTTTCCGGCCTGAATTTGCCACGCTTCTCCTTCATGGCATCGACCTTCTTCTTGTCCTCGTCGAATCTCTTCAGCATAGCGGCTTGTTCTGCCTTGCGACGCTCGCGCAATTGGAAGCGGTAGAAGTCCGTAGTCTCGTCCTTCTTCTTCGAGGCCCTGTCGATCATCTTCTGTCGGGCTTCTTCGGCCTCGTTCTTGTTGGCCGGAGCAACACGTCCACCGCGGACAACTGTAACAAAGCCGTCCTCGTCTGGCTCGTTGCGCAACCTCTTGGCCATCTCCGCCGCTTCCTTCTCCTTGCGGTTGAAAACGTTGAAGAAGGCGTGGACTGACTTCTGCGTTGCCGCCTTGTCACAGCGCGACAGCTGAATGTGTGCAGATACCCATTCGGATCCAAGCTCGGGCTCATCCTCGGAAACACCTTGTCCCCAGACGGGAAACTTTGTCGTCTTGTTCGCTTTCTTGATAGCCTTGAGCACGAGCTCGACGCTCTTTTCATCGGCGAAGAGAGCAATGGCGCTGCTACCGCTTTTCCGCAATCTTCTCGTCCAAGTTTCGGGCAGTCGCGCGATTTCTTCCTCCCGGGCTCTCTCCTCTGCTTCCTGTTCGCCGCGCTTGCGCTTCTTGCCTAGACCCATAATCTTCGCAGCATTGACTGGGTCGACAGCTGCGACATTCTTCCGATCATCCTCGAACGCAATGCTTTCGAAGCGGCCTGGACCGACCAGAGCGGAGAAAACTTGGCGAAAATGAGCTTCAGTGCTGTCCACGGGGACGTTCTTGAGGAAGAGACTTCGATCATCGATCTCGGTTGGGATCCTGGGCGCATTTCGTCGAACGCGGATCTCGTGAAGAGCGGTGATGGGGCACGATGGAAGTGCTGGGAGCTTCACTGGCAAGAGAACAAAGCCATCCCCCTGGGACTCGGCGGTTGACATGTTGGCGGGAACTCGGCTCAACGCAAAGGAATGTTGTCGTCCTATGGAAGTAAAGATTGAGCGGCCAGAATTCTCGCCGGATGGAAGCCAGCCTAAGAAAAAAGTTAAGGTGGGTCTTTCATCCTTATCAGAAACCACTTTCATTGGCCTGGCTCGACTAGATGGTCCGTGTCTTACAATCCACCACTCTTATCGTCGGTGAGGGTGATCTACACCGAAGTCGGTGAGGTTGGCGGATCTCCCTCCGTCTAGTTATTTAGCTTAAGGTAGGCAAGTCTTTGAAGTCCTTCCTGTGTCATTCTCAGAGTAATTGAAGTACGGTGGCACAAAACGCTCTGGCTTTAAAACTGTCTAGTTTTGAAATCAAATATGATGTGCCATCAACGTGAACCCGAATATATTGGAGTAATCTAGCAACGAGCGGGTTAAGACTGGTGTCCTATTAAATCTCAATAGCTATCCGACCCATACCACGACTCACGCAACTCAGCATTGACTCAAGTTTGTCGTCGCTAGATAGAGCTGTGCCTCTGTGATCAACTCGACCGCTCTTAAGTGCAACTTTGCAAGTTCCACAGTTGCCGACTTCGCAGCTACTTTCCACATCGCCCCCGATCTCCCGCTTGAGTACTTCCAGCAGCGTCTCTTCCTCGCCTACCTTCAGGACCTTTCCGCCTCGGTTCAAAACTTCTGCCTCGAATGGATCTCCCGATGTGTCGGCGGAGAAGGCTTCGTAATGTACGTCGCCCTCATCGAGACCACACTTCTCTGCGGCTATCCTTACAGCCTCGGTCATTCGCGTAGGTCCGCAAACGTAGACGTGGCTGTTCCACTTGAGCGTCTTCATGATGTCGCCGATATCCATCCTCTCGCCTTTGTTACGGTCATAAAATCGAACACTGCTCCCCAAGGCATCCAAGCGGGAACGGAATGGTATGTCGTCGTCTGAGCGAACAGCGTAGTGCATCTCAAAATTGTAGTGGACTTCGTGGTATGCCTCGGCAAGGACCAAAAAGGCGGTTATACCGATACCGCCCACGATGAAGACGTGATTGCTTGAGGCACTGGCAACTTGTACGTCGGTTGTCATTCGCCCAACCTGAAGGACATCGCCTACAGCCATAGAGTTGTGGAGGTAGAGGGATCCTCCACGGCCCTTATCCTCGAGAGCAATGCCGAGCTCGAACTTGTTGCGGTCCCCAGAAACGACGGAGTAAGACCGAAGGAGGCCATTCGGCAGCTTGAGCTTTGCGTGAGCCCCTTCGTTGAGATATTCTGGGTTCTCGATCGGGTTGACGGCTTCGAGAACAAACGATGAGATTCTCGGGGTTTGTCTTGTCTTTTCGATAATCTTAAAGTCTCTCCACTGGTCCCCCTTTTCCCTCTTGACTTGAGCTTTAGCCTTGGCTACTCGTCGCTGGAATGCGCCACGGCTTTCTTTGCCCATATCTTCAATTGATGCAAGCTCCTCATTCATAGCCGCATCAGTCTGGTTCCGGTGCAGGTACTCTTGAATCCTCTCGATGGTCCACTTAGGCCATTTACGCTCGACGAGCCTAATCTCGTCGCCAGCCTTGACTGTTCCTTCTTTTAAAACACGATAATACCAGCCAGTCCTGCTAGACTTGAAAGTCGTAGGCGCAAAGTTCTTCAACTGAAAACGATGGTTGAGCTTGTAACATGGTTGTCGTGGCAGACTGACTTGAAGCACGACTTCGTCACCAACGGCGACAACATCGCCAATGCATACATTGCGCTCATTCATGTGTCTGGTGACAAAGTTTTCGCCAAAAGCTCCCGGTCGGAATCTGTCCGCTGCAATTGGATGCTCTACCTTCCAACCAGAATAGTGAGAGGAGCAATCTAGACTAAACTTTCAGAACTGCGTCATGATGGCAGAATGCCTAAACCAGCATCACAGTGTACTCACAACCGTGTATCGCCTTATCCGGTCCACCATGGAAAGTTGGATCATGCTCGTCCGCATCGAGTCCGAGATATGATACGTGAATGGGGCCATGCCTCAAATCCTTGTCGATTCCGGACGTGACCTCTAGTCCGGGCATCTTCTTCATCACGCTGGTGCGAACTTCCAGCAGAGTGTCGCTGGTGAAGGGTGACCAAAGGTCGACTTCTTCGGTGAGACCCATAGTCGGCGGGTTTCTGAGAAAACTAGGGCTGATTCGTGCGTGTTGAAAAGGGCAAAAGCATGAAAGAGAAAAGTCGGAAACCAGGATGGAAGATCCTACCCAGCTAAGTCTCATTTGGCATGCTACTGTTTTTATGCTCTCCAATGGCCGTGCGGAATATCACCCCGCACAGTAGCAAGCTCTCCAATTGCAGAGTATCGAACAGTGAAGAGGAGGCAAATGTGTTTTGAACATTTTGGGACAGGGGTTATCTACCTCCCACTACGATATAACCAGCAGTGGACATAAAAGTGAACGGAAGGTAATATGCGTGTCCGCAGAATTGTGGAAGGCTCTTGAAACAAGCTCGTCAAGCCTAACCGTCATAAAGACGAAGCGGGAGTTCAGGAGCCAAAGTGTGTACTTCCCGTTTGACGTATCAAAGCAAACAATCCATTGAGCTGTTTGAAGATGACATAACTAAACATGCTTACCATATCATGCATGAAGTGGACCGAGGACTAAAAATGCCCTAATAAGCCTGAATATCTACCAAGGCAATGGCACCAAAGTACCAAAACACCCAAGTCAAGTCGTAAGCGCTAAGGTAGTCAGATAACGGGGTTCACCGGACAAATTCCCGGTGTGGAATACCCACATCTCCGGCCCCAGGAAGCGCAGGGGGGCAACGTAGTACACAGAATGCTAAAGATATTGGCCGAGGTACCGTCCATGTCGACCTCATCGAACTTTAAGGCTGTCAGTCTGTCGGAGATTCGGAGAAGCACCGGCCATGTCTCTACCAGCGGGTCAGGAAATTCTCATTGCGAATTGCTACACATGACCAAAATCTCTTCTGATGATCTGAGTAACTTGATGTAAAATACTTATGCATGGGCTGTTACCTATGTAGAGACTCGATCTTCGTTTACTGTTCTCCAAAGTTGTGACGCGTGACATTTGCAGTAACACATGCACCCCGTCGGGTTTCCAACCAACTTCAGGATCGAGATGATCTCGCAAAGAGAGAGAGAGAGAGAGAGGGGCAAGGGTGTGTGATACGCTTGGGGCTTGGTCTGGTCGCCCTCTCTTGTTCTCTCAGTCTTTAAGAGGATAACGTTCAACGAAGAAGACAGGATGGTCTCAAAACGAAGGATATTGGTGTTCCGCGAGGCTAGTGTCTTCCACACAGACGCTGGAAGACTCGGAACATCCAGCCATCACATCGAATTCTTAAGCCTTCAGTCATAAAATCGAGGGGCCGGCGCGGTCGAGCCCAAGTCAGCACCCAAATCTTGGGCATCAACAGAGACCTGGTATCATGCCGCCCATGGCTTTCAAGCCTTTTCCGGATTTTGCACTTCTGTTGCGTGAAAACCCGTCACAGGGAGGGCACAAGCTACCCGACAGTGGAACGTGACCAGTGCCGTAGGAGCTGGCGCTAACACCCTATGATGCGAGACCTCACTGGAATGAGGCATCACTTAGTGACGCCAATTGGTGTCACAATGCCCGGCGAATAAGGCATGGACACATTGTTCGAGCCGACCGTAGTCCAACAATTGTGCCCGCTATTGGCTTGTCAGCTATGTTGAAGCTCTCGAGGCTCGGATGTTGTAGGAAGCAGATCGTGATGTAGGCTCACCACATCTGACATAGTTGCGCCAGTTGATGAGCCCGATTGATGTTCAAATCGAATCGGCCAAGCCATGCTAGCCTCATATTCACTGAACTTAGCAAATTGGGACTCAAGTTTGACGATGAGCAGGATTCCATTCGACACATACTTACGGATAACGGGCGTAAATTGTGATTAGTTTGGAAACTTCTCATGCGGCCGAAGTCGACCTAGTGGGACTGTTTGGCAAGGCGATGGTCCTTGAATGATGATGAACAAGGCACGCCAATAGAAAAGTAGCGTAGTCAGACATTCCACTAAGAATAAGAACATGCTGATGATCCTAAGAGCAAAACTTACGTCAGGGGTGTACACAGATGACGGAAACTGCTAGACCCAAGGTCACTAGGATGATACCTCGTGAGACGGTGACGATGCATCCAGGGAATGCTGAGAGAAAATTTGGCCTTGTGTTGGCCAAGAGCCGCAGAGCCGCAGAGTCGCATTATTAGTAGTCCATCCGTTGGAACAGTTTCGTCTCCGTTAATATGAACAGGCATGGCACCGTAGTTAGGAAAAGGAAGTCTGACCGAAAGGTGTTGACCACCTTCATCTGTAGTGAGGCTCCGGATGGGGCAATAGGTGGATGGGACCAATCATATAGCTAGCGAGGTTCAATTCGAGTTGGCTACTTGCAGGGATCAGGGGGCTTCGGGAACACAAGCTACCTCTTTCGGTGCCTACGTATTAGCGCATCTTCGATCCTTGCCAGACATCTCAGCCGGAACAGAGCCGCATTTCTCATAGTTAGCGGGGCTGCAAGACGAGCGATGGGGTATTCCTGCCTTTGCTGATTGCTCGTCAAACGGCCAGGCAAGCAGACTCAGGTGCTCCCGTGCAGCCTTGTCATACACCGCGTTGGTCCCCCTCCTCCGGAAGCCCAAACACTCTAGGTTGCTGAGCCATTTACATGCTCCAAAACCACCAGACAATGTTCAATGGCCTTTGTCTTAAGCAGACCATCTCGTACTACAGACCGAAGCCTTTGAAAGACACGCTCTGCCGGTCACTGACGCAGGCTGCGGTCGATGTCGCCCCCAGTACAGGCTCAAGAAAGGAATGCTTTGACTTACGATACTAGTGTCGGAAATGAAAGGGGCAGTGTTCCAGTTTCTCGGCGACTCGAGGCTACGGTCTGGAACCGGAGTTTTCTACCTGAGGTAGATGAGGCTCAAGTGATCTACCACCTTCATCCGGTGTCGGGATGAGGGGTGCACAAGGCTCTACCGCCACCTTAAAAGGGGCTACAGTCGTCTGTCTTGAAGGAGAATTCGACCTGCATGCGAAGCGGCCGCCTCGTCAATCAGCTGCCTTAAGGTACATGTGACTTCTAGTTTCCTGCGAAGGAAGTTCCGAACCCCGGCCACCCCTCCTTCGAGCTACATACAACCTTCACAGCGTTTCCAACGTCTTTTCAGCACTTGATCCTTCATCCTATTTTAGCTCTTCAACCGAATGGTCGAGGGACGGGTTCATGGCAGCCGTCAACTTTGCGAGGATGCAAAGGCTGCCTATCGAGATCATGACTTATATCGCAAATTCTTTAAATCTACATGACATATTCAACTTAAGCCTCGCTTGCAAGCAGTTCAGGTATCTCGTGGACAATGATGATATTTGCCGGGCCGCATTGGAGGTGAGCATCGCCTCAACAACAATAACCACTCTTAGGCCGCGCTGACTTGGTGGCTTAGACTCATGCGCCGTACTCAGCTGATTTCCAAGCTGCCCGCTCCTCTAAGCATTATGCTCGCTGCCTGCGGCGACTGGTCAAGCTTCGGAACGCTATCGCCACTGCCAAGCCATACACCACAGCTCTGGTCGCTCATGCAGTTGACTTCATCTACTGCAATGGCACGCTTTGTTATACGGAAAGTTATGAGGTGCTGCGTCTCCTCAACTTGCATGCCTCATCGGACTCAGAGGACATCATCGATACTCGAATGCTGCTTCAGTCTGTTCCGGGGGCGAATCTCGCCAACAACAAGTACAAGTTCCGTCCAATTCACTTCGCCCATGGAGTATTATCTTGTCTTTACAGTCCACCCAAGACCGAAGGTCGAAGTCGCCTCGTTGTCATCGACGTGGAGAATAGGACGCTTCTAACAGCTCAACGTCTCGAATCAACTTCCAAGCTATTTGTGCGCAATAACCAAGAATACCTCTACTACGGCACCCACTCGGTGACTGGGGATGATGGCTTCAAACGATGGGTCCTACGACGATTTGATTTACGGACCAAGCAGTGGATACCTGGTCACTTGGATCTCGAAGACCTAGCTGGTTCAGATATCGGAGCTACCGTTTGTTTCGAAATCATTGATGACTATTTTTATGGCTTGTCTAGCCTGAACAGTTTTGAAGTATACGAGACGGATTCGCTATCATATTATTACGGGTTTCGGTTGCCTGTGGGCAGTACTCAGCCCGGAGACATGCAGCTGGCGTCGAAAGAATCTATGCTGAGACGAGATCACAAAGACGGGCCGATAGATGATCGATGGAGTACTTTGCAGCTCGCGAAAGACTTGGTCACGGGAAACATCATCGTGTCAGAATGTCGAAGGGAATGGCTCGTCAACGAGTCTTCCAGCGCGAGGACGGCCTACACAAAGGAGGTCATTTTTGCGGCCCTTCCCGTTGACCCTGGTGACAGAGATACCGAAGCTGACACACACCAAACCGCATATATATCAACCCCACGCTGCTCATCTACTAAGCTAGTCTCCTCGGAGAAGCAAGGGTACACAACCTACGTTCACAGGGGCGATGACGGCTCAACATCGCCAACTATAACATTAAGTCAATGCTTTATACGTTCATATAATCAGTCTTGCGAGACATTTATCGACCTGGTAAACGATCCTGTCGCTACCGAATCGATGACGCAAAGACCGCAAATACGTTCAATTTCTCGTTCCCCCCAAAGCGGAACCGGCCGGGTTCCGAAAGAGTCACCAGCTGACAATTCTGCTCAGGTCTCCCACCAGACCCATGGGCCTAACGAGATCTCATCGTGGCCACCAGAGGTCGACGTGAGCCAACGAAATGTGCACCTTGACGCACTGGATAATATTCTCTGCCCCCAAGGCCAGAGTCCATTCGGTAGCATCTCGGGGGTCATGGATGAGCGCTCTTTGGTATACGCCATTGGGCAAAGGGGGCCTCAGACCAGACGCCCTTTGGTCTTCATCTGTTTTGACCCTTCCATTAAGCTTACCGGACTCGCTCGGTGGCCTGGCGGCCCAACAAGACCATCTTGCACCCACAAAACGACAGAAGGCGACGATGCGAGGGATTCGGGGCCCTATCCTACGCCGCAGTCCCTTCCGGTGTCTGCTCC